ATCAAGTCAAACACAAAATGATTAGAAACAAGTTCAGATGTATGCCACTAGGCTAGTTCCCGAGCCGAGAAGCATGAGCTACAAGGAAAACTACTGAAATTAAATCTCTCGACACCGGAAGACAGGTGGTTATCACGTCTTAGGGAAAACGTGATAACCATCTATAAATTTTTCAGAGGAATTGACAGGGTAGATAAAGAAACTAGCACATGTGGTATGTAAACAAGGATTTCGGGGCTTAGCGTCCCCGCGGCCCGGTCCTCGACCAGGCCTCACCTTCTTGTTACACACCCCCAGGAAATTATTGCACAATTATTGACCCTAAACTTATTGACTAGACAATTCCTTGGGGCTAGATTCACTCAATTTTGTTAGGGTGAATGGACTGAGGTACGGGACGGACATAGGCTTGTCGGGATCAGTCCCATTAGTCCTATTAAGAAGAGGTCGGGGCCAGTAGTAACTCCCCTCAAAATAAACAGTAAAAGATGGCTGACGGAGCCCCTAGATTACTTCGTTAGAAACGATGAACGTCAATTATGTGTGATGGGGATTTTTTAACATCACCTAGTTAGCTTTTTCGACACACTGTACTCCCCTTCATATAGTCTAGGGTAGCTGCACAAATGCAGATGTACCTCATGTATTAATAAAAAAAATTCAATTATTTATTGCGTTTTCTGAGAGAGAGAGAGAGAGAGAGAGAGAGAGAGAGAGAGAGAGAGAGAGAGAGAGAGAGAGAGAGAGAGAGAGAGAGAGAGAGAGAGAGAGAGAGAGAGAGAGGAGGGGGGGGGAAGAGGCATGTTGGGGGAGAGAGGAGAAAGAAAAAACAACCTAAAATCCATAATTTTTTTTCAATTTTGGTTTTATGAATATATACCCTATAGTCCTATAAATATGTAGACTAAATCTGTAAATAATCTGTAATGATATATATGCCAGAGATGTTGAATATTTTGCCCATAACACAGTGGCTAGCAATGTATGGAACACCATCGTGCGTGTGGGTGGCAGCACATATTAGCATGTCATTTCCATGTCATAAAATTGACATTCCTGCCGGAGAGTTGCCATGAGGTTTTAAACCGGTGACCCAGGTCCCACGTTACCCTCGATAACAGCCGGTGTTACTCTCTACGTATTCTCCGCTTAACAGGATACTCTTATGGAGGTCAGGAGGATAATTTGATGGATTAAAGCCGGTGTGTTAAGTCATTAATGTCATCATGTCTGCTACGCATCTCGGACTTCTCCCCTGCACGGTTGTCGAAGTCTGTTTGTGTTCGTGAAGCTGATATATTATGATAAGATTAAATCCTCACAACCGGGGAATCCGGGTTCAATCCGTAAGCGGGACAGAAACGATTGGGTACGTTTTAGGTCAATACATGGGGGCTCTCACTGGTGCTGTGATTATTGTGGTGTCCTGCACCGTGTCCTGGAGATGCAGGCTGGTGCTGCTTAATGCCTCCTCCTTGCAAATGAAGTGCAAGACGTCTACTCAGAGTCTTCATGGTGTGTCCAATATTGCATATATTTCAGAGCGCAGTCTCCAGAATTGCATTTGTATTGATACACTATATTAATCCACTTCAGTTTGTCAGGGGAGGCAAAGATGTTATTTCTCATAATGAGGAAAGCTATATGAGGGGTTGTTATAAATTATAGGACGAATCCTCAGGAGTTTTCACTACAAGTTTACAATTCCTGTCAATTTATATAACGAATCACCTTTTCAGCCTTCGAATAGGCCTGAGTAAACGTATTTAATAATAAACTACAATATCTTCCCTCAAGGGACGAATGTTCTCCCCTGGGGGCCCAGTATCTCCAGTCAAGTGGCCACTAGGCTTCATACTAACATTTCGCTGATTTGTGCAAATCTTTCCTCGGAATGCACAATAATATGGCGGACTCGTTGGAGTAAAGACGCAAGAGCTGCCAAGAAGAGCATGTAGGTATGCACTCCTGACACTTTTCTGATGTCATTGCATTCACTCCTACCATGCATACATTTACTTAGTTGCTTTATCATAGTGGGTTTAGTTCTGACAGCATATTGTGCTGCCACAGTCAGTACCTCTTTTTTTCATATAATGGGGAAAGGGTAATGGGCCTCACCTTATTGATAATAGCGATCACATTCCATTTGCAATATTCATATAAACATACATACAACATACATATATAAACACTTCAACCCATCCTCTTATTTATATAGTATTTTTTGTAACTATGTGGACATATAGTGAGGTGATGGACAATTAGACAGTACAATTTGGTACTATTCACTTTATAGTTCAGAAAATATAAAATTAAACATTAAACTTTAATATTCCTAGGCCTAGTATAGCACACATATCTACTGTATTAGGCCTTAGATAACGTGTATTAGGCCTCGGATGGTTAGGTAGGGTTTTATTTGATTAGCAACGTAAATACATCACTTTTTCCTGTTTGTACAAATTCAGTGGTACCACATTCTACTTTCTAATTGTCTATTACGTCAATATATATACGACGGTCCAAATGGTTACTGTAAGCAGTATCTAAAGAGGAAGACGGACCAAAATATACAAACGTATAAAGAAAATTAAGAGTATTAATACCATAAGAATGAAGGAAACTGCAGAAGGCCTATTGGCCCGTACGAGGCAGCTCCTATTTATAACCCCCCAATCTCATTCATATATAATATGTCTAATCTACACTTGAAACAATCAAGGGATCCTAGTTCTATTATGTTACGAGGTAATTGGTTCCACACATCAACAAGATCTTTAGAGATCAACTATTACCGAACCAGTCTTCCCAGGTCTTTTCCTAATTCCTAATGGTAGAAAGACCTAATTCCTAATGGTAGAGTCCATCAGTGACCACCGTAATACTGTGGAGTACCGCGCCTCATGCACGGTGAAGGAGGACTACTGTGATCAACATGGCTAAAACTAAAGCTTTACATGGTGCCGCACGTCTTATTTAGTTCACTGGACGTTGGGAAATGTGTACAGAGCATAATATATAAGCGCATTCATCCCGGAAACGTCTTGTGTGTGTGTGACACCATTTGCATGGCGGCCAGATGCTCGGTTCTTTTTTTTTACCGGAATTTAACCCGCTTAAACTATAATTAACCTAATCTAATTACTTAAACAAAAACCTAGTTAATGAACGATATAAAGCCAAGCCAAACCTAATTAAGCCTTGCTTAACCTAACCATTGTCTCGTCCATCTAAATCTGACGAAGGCTAGGCTAATCTAATTTAACCAAGCCTAGTCCTATCCAAAGAATGATATCTTTCCAAAACGGTGTGCAGGACAAACATATAAATTGTGACACTAGTTCTCCACATATGTCAGTTGCTTAATTTAGAACCTGTACTTGTGGTCGATCTCGAACCCATTGTTGATGTGACGACTTATATTGAATTTTGTAACTAGCTCATCAAGATTGTAACTTGCTTAGCTAAATGAATTGTGGGGTTCAGTCCCTGAGCCCCATTATGTGCCTCTGTAACCCTTTCCACTACCTCCCACAAGATGGGTATGGGATGCATAATAAACGAACTAAACTAACTTTCCAAAACGGTGCTTGCTCAGGGGTGAGGGACGCACCAGGCTGTCGACCGTCTGGGAAATAGGACAAGCACGCCACATTATCTCCTGTGAAGCATTTATTACTCTCTGTAATAGCCAGACTAAAATTTATGCCTATAGCAAAAAAAAATAAGATTTGTACATCATTTTACTTTATTTTTGTCTTTATGGACCAGCATAGATGTGTCTACAAATATACTTTACTTTGTTCGTACCTCGCAAGAGGTGACGCCTTTATTATGAAGAACTTTCTAAATACACCTAACCTTCAGTTCATGAAACCGAGTCAACAAACACGTAACATAAACAGCTCGGGCCCGACATATTCTCAGGTAGGGCACATGCCCGGTGCCCGACATATTCAAACAAACATACCAAGAAGCCCCGCTGGGCCCAGCACTTAAACACGCATTAGAAATGCGTGTTAGTGAATGAACGCGTCTAATGAACGCATTTCATATTTGTGGAGCAGAACACGCGGGCCGCCTGCGTCTCACTCATACATACATCCAACTGGAACTTTATTTCAATTTAAGTAAGGGGGATTCTGTTGCGCAGTAGTCTACGTTGTTGGCTCACAACCCAGGGTCGCGGGTTCGATTCCCGCTCTAAGACAGAGGCTGTCCTGTGGTGGATGGTGAGGGTTGGTGTGGGTGGTGATGTATGGTGACGTCTGATAGCCTCACACCGCCACTACAAACATGACGTCAGCAGCACTAAGTAGGTGATATTTAGTTTTGTGTGTGTGTGAGTACACATTTTATATTGCGTATTTATAAATACTGAAAATAAACAAGACTTTGTTATCCCGTCCTTCAAACACGCTAATTGATGCAGCCTTGTTTTAAAACCTTCTAATTCATTGAATTCACACACTACAGTTTCGCCTAATGAACACCATGTGTTAACCAGGCTGTTGTTGGAGGTATTTCCTTACATGTCTCCTCATCCCCATCTTTACCAGTTCCCTCCTGGCCACTGTACGGACCCTCCAGTACCACCACACAATGTGTAGTCTTGTCCCAGTTCGTTAATGAGTCAAATCTTGTAAGTCATAATATGATTTTTGTTTCCTTTAAACATTTTATGGTTGTAATGACAACATTTAACAAAACAAATTCAGAACCTTTGCCGTACAAGTTCAAAGAATATTCTAGTTCTAGTTGAGTATTGTTGTATCGTGTGTATGGACATTTGTTTTGGTTTTTAAAGAGTTCTAAAAACATAAATCTTAGCCAACGTTCTTTAACATAGCCCTACTAATGACTGATAACTGTTTTTTTATAAGTTTATTATACTTTATATTCAACAGCCAAGAATAAACAGCTCTGACCATTTCACCTGTTTGCCAATGACATGACAGTATGTGTTGAATTAATATAACCAGATTTTTTTATCACAGTCTGATTCCTGGAGCCAAGATGAGCACACGCTGCTGATGTGACTGTTTGGATGCATGCAGAGACTGGTTTAATGTCTACCCCCAGATCCTTCTCTCTCATTCCCTGGTAGGTTCATCTCAGTATGTTTTGTTCCTCGTCTTCATGACCTTACACTTACTTGGATTAAAGTCTAATAACCGCTTGTCCGATCATGCCTGAAACTTATTTGTGTTTTTAAAGCCTCCGGCAGCCCTCGATAGTCCCGATTGTCCTCAACAACATATTAACACAAAAGTGTAGGTCACCAACTGTCCATTATGCACACTAGGAATAGCACACATCCTTTCGCACCCAATTTAATACTCTGCCCCGTACGGCCACCTTCATTATCTTGTACTGTACGTACATGGGCCTCTTATATGGAACATTCTCTAATGATTTCGGGCCCCTGGTAGTATGCAGTCTCTTCACCTTCCTCGTCTAGCAACTGTCACTCTCGTGTTGAACTCTAGTAAGTTTGTTAGGCGTGAGTTTGCTTCTCTGAACCCTTGTTGATGTTTTGATGTGAAGTTATTTCTCAGTGTTCCATTATTCACCCCATGTTATAACATTAATACTTTTATTTACAAGAAGGGTACAATGGGTTTGTGAGATTACATAAGATTGTTATTTTCACATTCTTGCACAACCTTGTTAAGGACACCGATAGTTAGTCCAGTGGTTCCTGTCTTTATCTTTATTTTCCAGCGCGCCTTTGTGCGTGCGCGCGTGTGCTTATCTATCGATGACTACAGGGAAGTGGAGTCCAGTTCTTAATGCCGATGCGTTGTAATTCAAGAATTATGATGCTCGAATGCTTTGTCGAATCTGGCCTTATAATTGTAGACAGAGGTGGCTTCCACAACTTCTTTCAGTAAATTCCCCTTGTTTACCGCCCGTACAGCAGTACTGGTATTTCCTTACATTTCTTCGATTCATTTGCGTTTCCAGCTTCCACTCTTGTCCTCCTGTCCTACTTTATTTAAATTGAGAGGCTGTCCTTTGTGTGTGTGTGTGTGTGTGTGTGTGTGTGTGTGTGTGTGTGTGTGTGTGTGTGTGTGTGTGTGTGTGTGTGTGTACTCACCTAGTTGTGCTTGCGGGGGTTGAGCTCTGGCTCTTTGGTCCCGCCTCTCAACCGTCCATCAACAGGTGTACAGGTTCCTGAGCCTATTGGGCTCTATCATATCTACACTTGAAACTGTGTATGGAGTCAGCCTCCACCACATTGCTTCCTAATGCATTCCATTTGTCAACCACTCTGACACTAAAAATGTTCTTTCTAATATCTCTGTGGCTCATTTGGGCACTCAGTTTCCACCTGTGTCCCCTAGTGTGTGTGCCCCTTGTGTTAAATAGCCTGTCTTTATCAACCCTGTCGATTCCCTTGAGAATCTTGAATGTGGTGATCATGTCCCCCTTAACTCTTCTGTCTTCCAACGAAGTGAGGTTCAATTCCCGTAGTCTCTCCTCGTAGCTCATACCTCTCAGCTCGGGTACTAGTCTGGTGGCAAACCTTTGAACCTTTTCCAGTTTAGTCTTATGCTTGACTAGATATGGACTCCATGCTGGAGCCGCATGTGTGTGTGTGTGTGTGTGTGTGTACTCACCTAGTTGTGCTTGCGGGGGGGTTGAGCTTTGGCTCTTTGGTCCCGCCTCTCAACTGTCAATCAACTAGTGTACAAATTCCTGCGCCTACTGAGCTCTATCATATCTACATTTGAAACTGTGTATGGAGTCAGCCTCCACTACATCACTGTGTGTGTGTGTGTGTGTGTGTGTGTGTGTGTGTGTGTGTGTGTGTTGGACCAGAGCCGCCTGGCAGCAGGCCACGTTACTCACCATGCAGGGAGCAGGTCACACCATCAGCCTACACACACTCGCTCAGTCATGCAACACAGTATGTCCGCGTTTTACCATCTTATGCAATTATCCGACACAAAAACATTAATGTATTTCCGATACATATAAAGAGTATACACAAATTTCAGATGCATAATATAATTCCATAGGGCGATTTACTTTCCCCCTTCCAGAAACCCACTATTTCCGAGGTTCTGTAAACACCGACCCGAGTCCTTGCAGACTTTCTATTTATAAAAGCTAATTGGAAAAAAAGTTTTGAAAGTCTGCCAATAAACTCGTAGGGTGTTCTGAAGAAGTGAAGTGTACATGTTGACCAGACCAAATACTAAAAAGTGAAGGGACGACGACGTTTCGGTCCGTCCTGGACCATTCTCAAGTCGAAGTGAAGTGTAGAGAGGGAGGAGAGTGACGGGGTGGTGGAGACAGATGTGGTGAGAGTGACCAGGGAAGAGAAGACGCTGTACATCCTTGAGACACGCCAGATATGGTGCTAAAAGTCACACACACACATCTCGGTCGTCAAGACAACCTCTGATCCGGTCGTCAAGGAAACACTAGCAGGACAGCTGTGTGCGCCTAAATCCCCGCAACACATGATTTCCTTTATGTTTAAAAAAAGTTGTGTTTTGTGTGTTTAATAACTTGTCACCATTTGAATGGTATGTGTTTCACACACGAATGGTACGTGATTGACACTTCAGTGGCATGTATTTAGTGAATGAACTATCAACATGTTTAAATGTTCTTTTAACGTGCAAGCAGACTTACTTATTTATTTTAACATGTACTGGTTTGATGTTGCTCATAATAATGAGCCTCTGGAGTGTTTTAACTTTCAAGGCCGCCACTACCAGCTCGCTGACCATCCAGCACGTACACTTCAGTAGTGACCATAATCCTGAACACTAAGTAAACTCTCAGATTATTCACATCTTTGCGGAGGACATTTGCCCACTTGATGCCTTAACTTGCGTGTCCAGCACACAATGGCAGGCTTTTTTTGTACTAACATATTCTGTTACATCTGCATCAATGCAGCTTCCTTAGACTATATGTAGGGTTACATAGTTTTGGTCAAAAGCTGGCTATGTGACAGTAAAAATATCCATTTCACGTGATGGTTAGTTATACAGGGGCCAGAAGCCTGCACTGCTAAATATTTTGGGTGCATTATGAGGACATCCTCAAGAACATGGAAATGGGTAATTGCAAATCTCCAGATACCTCATACCGGCAGACCTTGAAGGGTTTAGTGACTGGATATACAATAATATTGTGAGGCGAGATCATGTCTCAGTTTTATCTCACAGAGATGCTCAGGACTGGGAGATGCGTCACCTGTAGCCACCTGCCACAGGTGAGGGTAGCCCCGATGATCACTGTCTCCTCCACGTTTCTTGCTAACCATATATGTATAATTATATATATATATGAGAGAGAGAGAGAGAGAGAGAGAGAGAGAGAGAGAGAGAGAGAGAGAGAGAGAGAGAGAGAGAGAGAGAGAGAGAGAGAGAGAGAGAGAGAGAGAGAGAGAGAGAGAGAGAGAGAGAGAGAGAGAGAGAGAGAGAGAGAGAGAGAGAGAGAGAGAGATAAATAAATCACAATTATACAAGTCGTTTCAGCCTTTCAGACCCTTGAGAAACTATTTCTCTATCAGACTGCTGAATGTTTAGATCAGCACAGTCTTACCGAGAGGTGAGCATACCTGCGCCCAGTTCAACTCCGTTGTTGTTGCATGCAAATTTGGCGTGCCTTTGTTGTTTTTGTTCTTTGTTGCCTGTGCCACAGAGATGGGCGCAATAAAGACAATTGGTTAAGACACAGTCAGGACAAATAATAGGGGGGTAGTAAAATGTACCCTGGACACTGTGTCACGTTTAGTGGAATCACCCAGAATATTACTCGTTTCGTCGGGCCTCGTTCACCATCTCATCTCTCTTACTTATAGAGGAGGAGGATGAACCTGCGTATATATGGTCTTTATACTCCACTTGTAAATACACGCCTGTTAGAGCTACCACTGACAGCTTCAGCCACTCACCTTTTTATGGCCCACCTGTCTCATTATAGTCAATATCTCCCTCACTGTGACCCATCTCTCCCTCACACATACAGCACTGTGGCCAGCACCATATCTGCCAATGCGGTATGTGATGATGAAAGGATGGCGGACTGCAACATGCAGGGAGAACACACCAGACCAGTATAAACACCAATGCGCAGTGCTACAGCCTCATCCCGATAGTGCATGAAGTTCATGGAGAAGTTGGACGATAAACTCATCATGGAGACCAAGGTCCCCCGAGCGACCAGTGTTTTGCTCCAACACTTCAGCATTATAAACAAAACAAAAAGATTTAGCAAAGAATTGCTTGCAGCGTCCTTGGACACACTTCCCTCCTCTGAGGAGTTGGAGGAGATTCTTGATTTGTTACGAGTGTAAAATGTTATGTAGCACAATCCAACTCTTCCAATAATAATAATAAAATCCAAAGCCGTGATGAGGATTCGAACCTATGCGGTGGGTAGTCCCACACACGCCCCAGACAATCAGAATTGCAACCTGGAGTTCTACTAAACATACGAGGGTTTCAAGAAGCTGGACAATCCCTCTCCCCCCACCAACTGAAGGGGGGATTGTGTGAAAATACTGGTCCGGGTTTCCACACCATTCATCCACAGATCTCCAGTATCAGCTACTGGTAATGAATGGCTCCAAACAGCCTCCATTTACGGGCTATTCATGCCCGTGCCACCTCTTAGGTGGATTAATCTCTATCAATCAATCATCAAACTGTAACCGTTTGAACTCTGCCTTTGATAAGGTTAATAAGACTTAACGAAATGTATCACTTTGGATCAGGCAAAATAAACAAAATTGTAAAAATGAACTTGAACTTTGGATTGTTAATTTATTTCGTCTTCCTTCTCAAGTAAAGGAAAACATGAGAATATATATATATATATATATATATATATATATATATATATATATATATATATATATATATATATATATATATATAATATAATATACTGCAAAAGTGTATTGGCCAATTTATGTTCTAGGAAGCACATATTGCAAGCTATAGGCTACAAGGTGTTTAAAATAAGCATATACTTTTTATACAGGGCGGGCATAATATGATAATGATTAAGGACCTCATAAGAGGTAATGTGGAGAGGAATGATGCAAGCAACAGCCAATATGATCGCTTACCTCACGCTGTAACGTAGGTGGGGGTTGGTTTAGTTGGGGAGTGTATAATGTTTGTTTGAGGCTTCAGAGTGCGTCTATGTGGAGGCACCTCACTGCTCGACGTTTCTAACACCAAATGTACCCCTGTCCGACTCACGCCACGGGTGGTAAATATTAAATTACATCGACGAGAATATTAAATAAGGACGCGCGTGGTTAATATCGGGTTGGGTTGAGTGGTGAGGGCGACAGCTGGTCCCATGAGAGGTGAGCCTGACCTCATCACCCAGCTCGCTCTACCCTCATCCACCACACGCAGTCAACTGCTGGCCCGCCGCCCGTCCTCTCCACCACCACAACTGTCCCCCTCCCCCGCCATCACCCCCACCACCACCACCATCACCACATGCACCACTAACAACTCTGTCGCCACCATAACCACACCTCAATGTCGCCACCATAACCACACCTCAATCACAATATATGAGATCCTCACCACCAGCGCGAATTGCATGAGCACTGTTGGCCAGCGGCTATAATGAATGATATGAATGAAAGCAACGTACCGCTTGCTCCCTGCGCCGCCACACGGCTCTTACTGTTGAGCGAGATGTCACACTCTGACGAGGGTAGAAATACCCTAAGCTACTCTATCTTTTAGAGATGCACTTCCTTCTCTCAATAAACTTAATTGAACTTGAATGTCACCCTCGAGAGTATGGTCATTACCCCTAAATAACTTAAATTTATTACCCATAAATAACGTTGATTTACTCAGCCAGGTCACACCGTCGGCTGAGAAAGATTATAAAGGTACTCGGTAACGTGGTACAGGTAATCACCACTCGGGGAACTGCCTCGTTACCACACGAGCGTCATATAAGCGCTTACTGCAAGCTTTCGCTACTGGTGCCTTGTATTACCCGCTCTTACACAACGTCGCTCTTAAACAGGCTCCGGGTATGTGGGTGGCCTCACAGCCATGCTGACCACCTCAACGACCCCGTGTTGGGGGAGAGGGAGGGAGGTGCCCTCAACCCCGTGTTGGGGGGGGGAGGGAGGTGCCCTCAACCCCGTGTTGGAGGGGGGTGAGGGAGGTGCCCTCAACCCCGTGTTGGGGGGGGAGGGAGGTGCCCTCAACCCCGTGTTGGAGGGGGGTGAGGGAGGTGCCCTCAACCCCGTGTTGGAGGGGGGGAGGGAGGTGCCTTCAACCCCGTGTTGGAGGGGGGGAAGGAGGTGTCCTCAACCCCGTGTTGGAGGGGGGGTGAGGGAGGTGCCCTCAACAACCCCGTGTTGGGGGAAAGGGTGCTCTCTCTCGTGCCCCAATATGTCGTTACCTTTGATAACGGCGCTCACCAATATATCGTTACCTTAGACAACGTTTCTTACAAAATTATTGTTACCTTTCATACCAGCGCTTATCAATATGTCGTTACCTGTGACCACGGCACTTGCCAATATATAAATCCACGTGGACGCCAGTCTCGTCCACGTGGTTTTATTTACAAACGACAATGACGTCACAACGATATAGGCGTCATGAATATAACCATTACATACTAAATAGACAAATGAGCATCAGCACCTACCACTATGAACCTAATCGCAGGAGAATTTAATCTTACAAAATACATTAATCCTAACAATATAAGTTTAATTGCTTGCAGTATGTAGTGCTGGATTAGATGCTTGTTGCATAAAATTATACCACTTTAATCATTAAAACAAGACAAATTACAAAACTGACAAAGACACATGCATAATTTGTTAGACAAATAGGTCTTATAAAGTGACAACTGACAACCCCACAAGGAGCAGCTGTCGTACGACGTCGTACTCATGACGTGCTTGACAGGACCCCTTGTCTGCGTTGTTTACAGCGTTGCCAGAGTGGTTGTTGTTCAACGTTCACTACAACGTTGTCACAGTGGTTGTTGTTCAACATTCACTACAACGTTGCCAGAGTGGTTGTTGTTCAACATTCACTACAGCGTTGCCACAGTGATTGTTGTTCAACGTTCACTACAGCGTTACCAGAGTGATTGTTGTTCAACGTTCACTACAACGTTGCCACAGTGGTTGTTGTTCAACGTTCACTACAACGTTGTCACAGTGGTTGTTGTTCAACGTTGCCACAGTGGTTGTTGTTCAACGTTCACTACAGCGTTGTCACAGTGGTTGTTGTTCAACGTTCACTACAACGTTGCCACAGTGGTTGTTGTTCAACGTTCACTACAACGTTGCCACAGTGGTTGTTGTTCAACGTTCACTACAGCGTTGTCACAGTGGTTGTTGTTCAACGTTGCCACAGTGGTTGTTGTTCAACGTTCACTAACAACGTTCATAACCGCGTACAGTCATGACCATTCCCCCGTCCATCACCCTGTAACGACTTATTGCTTTTATCTTGAAATGTGATGGAATATTAACTAATATTAATTGTCTTTATACACCTTGAGTACTAGCTACATTTCACCCACAGGAGTGAGATAAATAAGACACAATACACTTGAAGATGGACGATATGCCAAGGTCATCTATCTAGAAAAATCAGTTACTTTAGCTGCCTCCGCCCCATGACATTATATTTCCAAGTGTACTGTAATGGAGAGATTCTAGAGATAATTTCTGTAGTGGATTATAAGCCAGAAGCCTACTGGGAAGCCCTGCGGCCACTCAGAGATGTGACTTACTCCCAACTCTTTTAATAAGTTACTTAGTAACAGGTGTTTTATTAGTACTTAATGTTGTAGTTATATTGCCTATTGCTTTAGTTGTCTGTTAGTTTGAGGATCACTTATAATTAGCCAAAGGTCAAAAGGCTTCGGGGGAACATATGCCACTGGAATAACAAAAATGAATGCAATGATACAGCAAGCTTTTAATTTTTACACAGGTTTATTAAATATCACTTGCATCCTATTCTAGAAACTCGTAGTCCATGACAGTGGCTGATGTATAGGTGAATCAACCTGGAGCATTTACCTTAGCTATCCCAACACTGGCGAGACGGATAATGGTCACTGCTTGCATCACAAGCGGGGATGTTTCTGGCGGGGGAGAAAGAAACAATTGCGCAGCGCGTCCCGCGGCGTTGCGCGGGCAGTTTGGGGCCGTATAAATACGGGCGCACAATGGGGCTCTGCCTCACTCCGCCTGCCCTCGCCGCTGCCCTCGCAAAACCCCACCCTCCCCCCCTTTGCAAACGGCTGCTTTTGTACCCCCGTCATGCTTTGCACAGTTGTCCCGATTGTCTCCCCACTGCATGTGGGAAGGGGGGTGCAGCGCCGGTCCCCAAGTGTCCCGCTGTCCGCAGCTAATACTTTGCCCAGTCTAGGTGCTAGTAAGCCCTACTTGTAGTCACACCCCCTTCTCCTTATCCATTAGGTCTTTTACGGCCTCTTGGCCGGGTACATTACGTGTTATGTGGTCTCTCACTTATTAGTTATTCTTTGTGTCCTGCCTGTTATATCCTAGTGTTATATAATTACTACACATTTGCACTCGGCCTTAATTCTAGTACCAGTTAACCTTTAGGTTTCTGCAGAATTAGTTTCCATGTCACTATAGGCTAAGGTCTCATACTTACTACGGGTGTACCTTTTAAGTTAAATCTAGTCCTTGGAATTGTTACTGTTAATTCTTACTTTATATATTTACTTTATATATTTACTTTATATATTTTAATATAAACGTTATATATTTACTAATTTAGATTTGAAACTTTATATATTTACATGTTCAATATTAAGTTTTATATAATATCAACTTTGTTAAGTCTATAATATAAACCGTGTTTAATATAAACTTTATATAATTACTTACTTTATGAGAACTTTATATATTTACATGTTCTGCAGAATTTAATCTTCAATAAACTTTAACGCCCCATACTGCCAGTATCTTTCTCCCCCTGGTCAGAAATGGTACAGCCTGGTCCGACCCCTCTAAGTGTCACACAGCCGCCTCAGTCGCTCTCACACCCACACTGAAGTAACGTCATGAAAACAGAGTATATTTATATATACATTGGGGGGGCGGAATGAACAACAGTAGGCTTTGTGTGAGCATACCCCACCTCCACTACTCCATTAATAGCGCTAATAAATCACTGTCGGTGTAGGGGGCGCTATGGTCAAAGTACAGTGATGGGAGACTTGTGCGAGGTCTTGTCTGGCCTCCCTCGAGACCCAGCCACCCACCGGTTAGGCTGACTCCAGTGTGTATTCACCTAGTTGTGTTTGCGGGGGTTGAGCTCTGCTCTTTCGGCCCGCCTCTCAACTGTCAATCAACTGTTGACCAGACATACACTAGAAGGTAAAGGGACGACGACGTTTCGGTCCGTCCTGGACCATTCTCAAGTCGATTCAATCAATCAATCAACTGTTTACTACTTTTTTTCCACACCACACACACACACATACACACCAGGAAGCAGCCCGTGACAGCTGACTAACTCTCAGGTACCTATTTACTGCTAAGTAACAGGGGGATTCAGGGTGAAAGAAACTTTACCCATTTGTTTCTGCCTGGTGCGGGAATCGAACCCGCGCCATAGAATTACAAATCCTGCGCGCCGTCAACCAGGCTACCGTTCTTGTATAATGCAGGTATAATGCGTTCTTGTACAAGTGCGTTGTTACCATTAGTGTTTTGGAGTGGAGTGTTACCCCTAGTGATTAATAATCATCCCCATGTGGAGATAATCAATAATTCAAGTAAATATAGTTACTTAAGTAGGTAACAACGACTCATTTTCCTTCCCCAAAAGAATTCTGATAACCGCTAAACATTGAGTTGAAATGATCACCTACTTAGTATCCTACAACACAATGACGTTACCTAATTCCATTTATGCCAACTCCTTGTTTCGTTTAATATAACCATGCAGCAATTAGGAAATGTATATGTTTATCTCTCAGAATGTTCGGTAATATGTTTATTGTTTGTAATGTGTGTGTCTATGTATATATTAACACGATGTACTCAACGGGGTGAGAATAGCTTGAGCTACCTCATCCCTTTGTGTGTATTTTACCTCAATAAACTTATTTCAATTTCAATGCAGCAATCCAACTTAAGATAGCAGCACCTCGACACCGCGAGCCTCTACCGTTCTGGGGCCAGATTCACGCAAGCACTTACGAACGTGTACATCTTTCCTCAATTTTTGACGGCTTTGGTTACAATAATTAAACAGTTTACAAGCATGAAAACTCCCCAATCAACTGTTGTTATTGTTATAAACAGCCTCCTGGTGCTTCGAAGCTCATTAACTGTTTAATAATTGGAAACAAAGCCGCCAAAGATTGAGAAAAGATGTACAGGTTCGTAAGTGCTTTCGTGAATCTGGCCCCTGATCCCACTGTTGTGAGAGAGGAGCTCAGTGGTCACGGCTTCAGACGTAGATGTAGGGAGTGAAGACTGTTGACGCCTGTGACTGTCGTCGTGATGTCATCACTAAAACTCGAGACTATCTCAAAGATGATCTTATTGCTGCTGAAGGGAAGCATTAGCTCAAATGTTACACCAGTGCCAGGATTCATCAAGCACTTATAAGTGTTCACTTACGAAACCTGTACATCTTTCCTCAATTATGTTGGCTTTGTTTGCATTTATTGAGCAGTCGAGGAGCTCCGAAGTGCTACGATAATAATCTTGGATGTGCGATAATCGTGAGACAGCAAATTTTACAGATACGTACAAATGATGTTATTGTGGGTTGGTTGTGTGCTCAAAAAGATTGGGAAAGATGGCCCAAAATGACGTGTGTTAAAGACAGAAACCTTCAAGTATTATTGTAGTCAGTACGATGGAACAAATTAATAACTTGCAGCCTCATTTATCAGCACAATCTCGTCAGCCAAAAACTAAATTCAAAAGGGCTTTTTCTTCACCAACATACATGAGGTACAAGTCTTCCATACATCAGATGATGGTGAAAAGTGTATGGTGCCTGTTCCAACATAACTTTCCCACCACCTATGTGCTTTAATTAATCTGAAGCTTTTTTTTTAGTGGGGGGGGAAGAAAGGATGGAGAGACACAGGTGAAGGGAAAGCTTAGAGATGGGAAATACAATGCAAGTTATGAAAGCAGGCGGGCTGTCCGCCTTACTGACACGAGGTGTGGGTGTTGGCAGCTAAGCTAAGCTTACTTCCTTTTGTCAGGAAGCTGTGTGTCATGCGGAAGCCCACGACTCATAAAAAAAAAAAGTCCTCCATATAAGGCAGGAGATGCCGTTATCCGCACTAATGCATGTCGCTCTGAGGCTCAGATCGGGTAATATTTCACCACCACCATACAGCGAGTTTGTTCTTTTACAAAACGCATCATTTTCTTGTGTACCATTGAGTCAGTGCATGCTCCCTTACTGTACCCATCCCTGACTGTACCCGTCCATTACTGTACCCGTCCCTTAATGTACCCGTCTCTCCCTATCAAGAGCGTCTTTATCACATCCCTTCAGTCCTCTCCTGGAGTCATCTAATTGGCATCATAACTCACAATGGGAGTGCCAGGCTGGAGAGCCTCAGTTGGCACCGGCCTCGGGCTTCATGTCTCGAAGCCGACGGTGCTTCTGTAGACTGTTTACCTCTATTGTAGAGTATTTTATGAGCCAACTCATCTTCTGCAGACTTTACCTGCAAACCTCTGGATACTAAAATATTTTATATATATCAAATAATAATTTTGTTACTCTCTGGGAAAAGATAATTAATAAAGCACACAACGAGACTGTCTACCAGACCTCAGTGCTATTAATGAGGAGTTGGAGAGTGTTAATATGTTGCTATGAATGAAAGCAAGACGGGTGACGTCATGAGTGACGAACAGATGTCCAGGAACAGCTGGGTGGGTGTGACCTTTTGGTCCACCACCACCACCACCTCTACCACCATCACAACCACCACCATCAGAACCACCACCACTACCATCATCATAACCACCACCACCACCACAAACCCAATTAGCAAATTCAATTTTTTTTTTACTAGATTTAGATTTTTTTGTTGAATTGGATTTTGGTGGCGGAAAAGGATTTTTTTTTTGTTGGCCGATTTGGATTTTTTTTTTGGGGGGGGGGGGGCGGCAAAAATGGAATTGTTCAGTTGACTGGTTTGTAATTTTTTGTTTTACAACATTCATAATAGTTATGAATATTGTAAATGTACAGTACATTACAACATTCATAACTATTATACAGCATAACTGTAATCTGGAATGTAATAAAAAACCCAATGTGCACAGTATTTATATTTTTATATTTACACATTAAAAATTTTTGTTTCCATCGGTAACTAATATAACCATAATTTATAAATTAGGTGAAATACATTATGTAAATCAATTCAATCATTTTGACAATTACAATGTATAAAAACTAAAGTCTGTAATTTGAAAACGCTAACAATTCAGAGTTAGCACTTTGGCTAAGAAAAAATACAAAACTGTGACTAATACACAATTTAATTAGTGAAGTCAAATTTCAATATAGTACAGTACAGTACTATATTCACATTTAAAGACAATTAAAATACTGTACCTCAAACTCGGTAACAAAATACATCATAACTTACAAATATTTAAATTTGCTACACGTAACAAAACCATCCGTATAATTATATTGTATATTACTGTCAAAAATATATTCCAAAATCTAGTAAAAAATATATTATACTGTATATAAAATGAACTATTCTGGTGACTAATCATGATACTGTAGGCATTTCTAATCTGTCTTGCTTCTGCTTCTCAACAGCCATCTGCATCGCAGTCAAGAAACTAGGTAATGAGACAACTGGTGCCTCGGCATAAAGAGCATGAGCAAGAAACGGTATCTTTCTCAGTGTACGTCCACTAAATCCCAAGCTTTGTCTAGAAAGAGAAAAGAAATGCATCATTAATATTCTTATCAGTTAATTTTACTGAAAATGCATTATTCAATATGGACCAAATTGGATTTTCTCATTGATATATATATCATGTTGATGTGGTTTGTGTGTTTATGCAATATAGTCCCAGTAGAAGTAAATATGGTGAAATAGGATTCTGGAAGTATCAGACAAAATCTGATTTAGTTATGATTGCTGATCATATGTTGCAAGAGATTCCTAATCTGTTAGAGGGAAAGATTCATTTATTTGGGTTTGTGTTGGGGATAAAAAGAAATATAAACAGTTTAATTATTTATATTACAAAATCTGTCCAAGATATTTTGGTGTTGGAATGAGCTCAAGTAATCTACTGCCTGCATAATAAATTTTTTATTTTCCCTTAACCACAAGGTGTCCACTGAGGAAGAATCGGTAGCACGAAGATAGCGGTGAAGAGCCACTACCAGGCACAACACATAATGCACCCAAGTCAAACTCCTCTCCAGAAACCTTGCAAGTCATTCTTTGCCAGAAAAGAAGGAGATAGCTGCAAAAGAAGATAATCACGTGGGCCAAAGAACAAAATCTCCGCCTCCATAAAAGAGCACACAGTTTCCAGACCCTGTAACTGGAGGCAAGAAACAACAGAAAAACTGCCTTAAAGATTCATGAACTGAAGGGGGAAATCATAAACCTATGGAAAGAAAGGTGAGAACATGGTCAAGAGACCAGGAAGGCTCAGGCAGTGCATGAGCAGGCCGGAGGTGAAATAATGTGAGAGACAGTTTCAGTTATGGCACAGAGGTAGTACTGATGCCAAACACAAGCAGTAGCGGCTCCACAAGTACAGTACCAAACAATAAGAGGCAACAGTATTATGCAAGAAACAACTAAGAGAGAGAGAGAGAGAAATGAAAGCACAATACTAACAGATGGAAAAATGATGAGGAAGGGACAGGAAGTGGCTAAAAGAGCATCAAACTACTTCATACTGTCACCAGGAAGATAAATGCAGGTCAGACACCATCAATTCAGCTATCTACTCACCAATGAAATGTCAATAAAGGTGAGTCAGAAAGACCAGAGCCATGAAGAAGTTTAAACCAGCAAGGTACATCACTGGATTGATCTTCTGAAAGAAGCAGAGCTATGGAAAAATGCCCATATTTGAACACTATGCAAGCAGGTCCTGAAGTCAAGGTTGATCCGGCAACAAAGGGGCCAGAAAGACCACCTTTCCCTGGTAGAACTCCAGTTTAGCCAAGACCTGGAGCAAGAGCTGGACCAGGAAATAAGAGGTAAAGAAACCTCTCATCACGACCAGTCCAGCCAAAAGGCATCCGCTGCAAGGAATGGATGCCTTTTGGATCGGGGAATGGAGCAACATTGACAGGAAGGCACCAATTCTAAACTGACACAATGAGACCTGTGATGGGCCACCCAAACATTTCGCAAAACCACTGAAAGGAGATTGCACTGATGGTCCACTCTGTGGAGAAGGGAAGGAAATAAGAGAGACTATCTGCAAGAATGATGGAAACGTCCCAGACTAAACTGTGCAGAGAACCAAATCCAAAGAATCCAATAGATATGCTACCTTTACGGTTCAAGCTTCAAATGGTAAAGGACTGAGAAGAACCCCCCCCCCAGTTTACAGCCAGACGGCTGTAAACTTGCGCACCATATGATGTGGCCGAACTCAATCAAAAACCCTGGACAGCCTGGTGAGCACTGGTCACGAAACCCCAGCCCAGAGCTGACGTGTCCAAAATGTTGAGAGACGGAAGAGGAAGGTACCAAGGAACCAAATCCCGATAAGCTCGAAGAGGAAATCAGCGAAGCAGTGGCCAACAAAGGGTGATCAGAGTCCAAATCTGACAGTCATGGCAGTGCTCAAAAGGGGGTGGATCCGAAGAATCCAGAACAACCCCTGAAGCCACATGTTAGGACCAACTTGAAGGCCTTTGAGAAACAACCTAAAAGCCCACAAATATCTTAAAATATTTTGAGAATAACATGACAGTGTATTTATGAAATTAAAATAGAGAAAAAACTCACCCAGATATCTCCCATAGTAGTAGTGATGACTTCGTTACATCCTTGACAATCATATTTGTAGTTTCTAGCTCGCGTAGAGTAAAAATCATTTCACTGTCAGCAATGATGCCAGTCTGAAATGATCAACCAGACCAATGGTTGAGCGAGAAACATAAATTTACTCTATATACAATACTGTAATAATGTTTACAAAGTAACAAGCAAATCAGTCGGTCAGGAAAGAAAACAATACTCGGCTCCAGCCTTAATCCTTTCAAACAGCTACAAGTTTCAGTCTCTTCAGAAATATTTACTGGGGTCTCCTACACCTTGTTCACTACTCTGAGGGGGGTGTATTTCTGTAAACTTTTCCCAATATTCCCAGAGATAGCTTGGCTGTCTTCAAGGGCTAAAATGATGTAAAAAAAACAGCATTGAATGTAAGGAAACTCAAATTTCTGGGTGATTCTTAACATCATTGGTCGTTCCTTTCTCTCCCCCCCCCCCTTCCCCTGATAACAGGATGAGCATTATCCGCTGCAAGGGTGGACTGTTACCAATTCTCTGGGGTGATATCCATAAAATTACACAGCCTCCAAGGGTTACCAATTATTAGCAACCAATACAGGATACATTACTGCCAGTGTTACAATGGTGACATTGGGCTCACATTACAATGGTAGCAGCAGTGACAGATAATCACATTACAGGTGCATTTTTTAAAACAATGCCTATAATAACAATTCTTAATAAAGAAATAAATCCTACATTTTCCTCAATCACTAACAAACCCTACATGAAATGTAAGAAATCTTATACAGAATTTTATTTTGTGCACACTATAGGGATGGGAGCTTACCCTTTTCATTTCAGTGATACAGGAATAGTAGATCTGATATATAGCGGCTCGAGAGGGTAGCCCTATGTACTGCTTTATATCTGCGCGGTCCACAAATGCTAAATCAATTGTGCCGGATATATTGGACGTGGTGACAATGAGGACATTTGGGTACCTGGAAAGAAGTAGAGTTAATCAAATATATATCAATACTAATACATTTTTAAAAATACTTTAAATAATAATAATAATAATAATAATACTGTACTACAACATATGAAATGTCAGAAATATTGATTTTGGAACAAATAAAAAACAAACATTGAATGCAATGAAATGCCAATTTCTGGGTGAGCCCCAGTAGCCCCGTGAAGTTACCATGCTGATACAGTACAGTGCCAAACTACTAGGTGTCATCAGGCACAGAGTTCCTTTAGGCCTACCGGAGATCACAAGCCGGTCCTCCTCTAAAGAGGCAGAGAGAGAGCGAGCAATGGCACTATGCTCAAATTGTCAGTGAATTTTTAATTACTCCTGTATGACACCACCGGGGAAGCACCCACAAAGTGCTGAACAAACAGGACAAGCAGCACGTGAAACCAAGGATCACCTTTTCCCTGTAGGACTCCACCCAGAGCAAGAGCTGAACTAGGGAGGTCCAGCTCTTGCTCAGGGAAGAGGTACAGAAACCCCTCAACCTGTCCAGCTGAACGGCAACTACTGCAAGAGCCTCACAGTTGGGAAATGGCACCATGTAGCCTCCAGGGGGCCTCGTAGCCTGGTGGATAGCGCGCAGGACTCGTAATTCTGTGGCACGGGTTCGATTCCCGCACGAGGCAGAAACAAATGGGCAAAGTTTCTTTCACCCTGAATGCCCCTGTTACCTAGCAGTAAATAGGTACCTGGGAGTTAGTCAGCTGTCACGGGCTGCTTCCTGGGGGTGGAGGCCTGGTCGAGGACCGGGCCGCGGGGACACTAAAGCCCCGAAATCATCTCAAGATAACCTCAAGAAGATGTAAAAAAGGAAGGTGCTGCCCATCTCACTGGGCTACTTTCAGGGAGCCACCAAGGAGCTTCTCCAGAAAAACTATAGTAAACATTTTTTTATACATTTTTTATACATTATTAAATACAGTAATAATAATTATGCTGATTAGTCTTGAAGTTAAAAGAAAACTATATTACTACTTACAAACTTGGCTTGAGCAATTATGCAATTTATGTTAAAATCTCTGGAAGCAAAAGAGCTCACAAAATATGAGAAAAGATACTCTTATTCCTTTTGGCCCTACCTAGCTGGGTATTCAGATTTAAAAAAAAAACAATTAGAAAACATATATAGATACAAACTTATTAATCTGATCAAGTTGTGTAAGGACAGCATTAACAACACGGACTGCATCACTTGGATCCGAGCCACTTGTAGACGATTCACGAGCGCGGGTTAGACTTTCCACTTCATCAATAAGCACTATCAATAATAAATGATGATCATCTGCTAAGTCTGTGATTTTGGTGAACATCTTCTGAACCAGCTTGCCACTCTGTAAATGTTTCAGTGCACAGTACAGTTAAAAATCTATCAGGACAGAAATCTTGAAAAATAGAAAGCAAATGACAAGCATTCAGTGGGAAAGTTATGTTCTATTCAAACAAGAAAGTAGGCCAAAACTATTACCATGTTCATTAAAAATTAATTATTTTCTGTCAGAGCATTAAATGATATCTTTTCCCATACCTATGTTCTTATAAAAATGTCTAAATGATTCCACTACAATATTACATCACACGGCAACTACTGGTCAAAACTTACTACAGTGAGAATTTCTTCAAAAGGTAGAATTTATACAACCTGTTCTATTTGCAGTATCTGTACCTTAAGAGAACTGAGTCATAATTATTTTAAAATGTCATTCTTTGATATTTAGCCTTAAAACATAAGCATGGTTACTAAAAACAAAGTTAAAAACCAGCGTTGAAGGTAATGAAACGCTAATTGTGGGGCGAACCCTGGTGGTTCCATGAAGCTTCAATACTGATAAGAGTGCCACACAACTAGATGCTGATAGTGTTGGATTGTCAACACTATCAGTTGGGTTGGGTTGTCATGATGGCACACGAGTGCCATTAGTTTTTTTTTTTTTTGGAGTGATGATGGATGCTGATAAGTGTTGGGTTGACTAAAGTGGAGATTAATGGTGATGAGGCAATCTCAGCAGAATGCCTTTCAATATGTACTCTAATGTACCTAATGCCATGGCAGAGTTGAAAGACTGAGACATTCATTAGTGTATGAACACTTCTCAAGTGGCTCTGTATACAGTCACTTGGTAAACTAATTCCATCTTTATTGCACATTTTTATTCAGAAATAACTACCTCACCAGCTATTCAAACTTTTTTATCCAGATAAACCCAAATTGGAAAACAGGCATTTGTAAAGCATGTGGCTGTCTGAATAACTACAAACATTTTCATGCACGATTACGATCTACTAAGCCATTCTGGCGAGTGTTGTAATCCTATAACCAGTGATCAGAGTTCAGCTTAGTTTTGCATGTTTTGTGCGAAGTTATAACTGTATGCATTGAATATATATTTTCTTTGTACTAGAATATATATTTCCCATTGCTTTACCAATGGGCTGTCAATAATGTTATTTGTGTCACAGAATATATAGATCATAGGTGCACAGATATTTTCAAGTCACTAATATGCTCATCATATATAGTACTGTATATTCTTTGAAGAATAAAACACAGTTTTTGCTGTTATACTATACACACACATTGTAGGTAACTGTTTACATTTTTATGCACCACAACAAACCAATAAGCAGTTCTGGTGTTTGTGTGTAGTAATGAAATCCACTGGACAGCATAGCCCCACACACACATACACACATTACCGGCAGACAATGCCAACAGACGACGCATCCTGATGCAGCAGAATGTGTCACAATATACTACACACACACATCACTAATTCTAAGCACAATGTTGCTATTAGCATCCTAAAAGCAATAGTGTGTAATGTGATAAATTTATATAATAAAATGTGTCGAACATCGCGATACAGTACTCAAATAAATTGTTTTCAGAAATTTTGGCTGTGACCTGATTGTACTTGCCACTGCATCACCTGTCAATAATCGTGGGTTGGATCAAGTTTTTCTCCAGTGACTCCCAAGCACCAAATATGACTCTGCAGGGATACCTGGTTGATACCTGGTTGATGGGGTCCAGGGAGTTCTTCTACTCCCCAAGCCCGTCCAGAGGCCAGGCTTGACTTGTGAGAGTTTGGTCCACTAGGCTGTTGCTTGGAGCGGCCCGCAGGCCCACATAACCACCATAGCCCGGTTGGCCAGTTAAGCATTCTGCATTACCAACGCTCGAATGATGATCTGCCTGACAGTTCTTGATCATGTTACAGCATGACACAGCAGAGAATGATGCATATGAAAATGAATGTAATTCATGGACATTTGCAACTTTTCCCAAGAACATACATTTGTATAAAATCAATGAAGCCAAGCCACTGACGTGCACTATCGAGTCTGAATTAAGAGGAACTATTGAGTTTGAAATGAGAAGCACTACCGAGTCTGAGCTGAGAGGCACTACCAAGTCTGAACTGAGAGGCACTACCAAGTCTGAACTGAGAGGCACTACCAAGCCTGAACTGAGAGGCACTACCAAGTCTGAACTGAGAGGCACTACCAAGCCTGAACTGAGAGGCACTACCAATTCTGAGCTGAGAGAACAGGTCAGTAAATGAATCTAACACACAAAATCTTGTATATCACACATGCATGAGGTTTTATATATAAAGTTTAAACATGCATGTTGTGGACAACAAAATCAATGTTTCCAAGGATATAACTAGTCATTGAACTAGGTCTAGTTCCAGTTGTCAAACCGCCATTGGGGATCGTGTCAGGAAGAATGTGGAATAGCAGAAATCAGTGAACCCAGTTGAGGGTGTGGTGCTGCCACCTGATGGCACTTGGTGGCACTGGCCGGGTGGGACGATGGGTAGTTAGTGAAGTGTTCCAGAGCTGGTAAATTGGAATGGATTAGGAAGTTGAGTTGGATTAAATGTTTTCCAGTGTCAGCCTGGCAACAATGTAATCTTGGAGGGAGGTTTAAAAAATTCCGTGATTCTGCTGTAGAATGTAAACATGCCTGTCCAAGGGATAAGGAGGATCTTACTTTTAAAAAGCAGCCAAGTGGGATAACTCAGATATTTAGGTACAGTGCTAGTAAATATTAAAAGTAATATGCACAACAAAAGAGAAAATCATTTACCTAACACGTAACTCTCTCTACTGATACATACCTCAGAAAACCATTTGGAAAAGAGAGAATGGGAATTTATCTCCACTAACTGGGCATACTTGTATCTTGAGTCCAGTCTAATGCTCAATTTCTGAGCCAAGGCCTTGCAGAGAGAGGTTTTTCCTGTGCAGGTAATAAAAGTTATAATAATAATAATTTCAATAATAATAATAAAAACAATTTTATTAATAATAATAATAATACAATAATAAAAACTAGATACGGTTCATTCACATTGGGAAAATGAAATAAGGTACCCCTACCTTTATTTCCCTATATATTTGAAATATAAATATTGTGAAATTAGATTATATATATATATATATATGGAGGCCTATATAGATTATAGGCCTCCATGAGTATTCTTGAATAATTAAAAATAACTTAAAACTTCAAAAACTAAACAAAATCTAATAACTTTAAAGTTTTCCAAGAGCTCACAACAGTCAGAACATACCCAAACCTAAGTAGTGTACAACAAACTATTCAGATTAATGCTGCCAAAACACTGAACTCTGATACATGGTACCTGACTAAAGGCATATTTTCCTTAACTTCCTCACTTTCCCTTTTAAAATAACACAAACAAAGTAGATAAAAGTAAAAAACATACCAGTTCCTGGTGGACCGTGAAGGAGTATAACCTTGTTCCAGGATATAATGCTCTTATTCATTCCTTTGTCAGAAAATAACAGGGCTGTTCGAACAAATTTCAGCATCTGAAAAGCCAAGCATTAAATGTAACAAAATGCTTTTTTTTCTGATAAGCCCTCAGTAGCTCCTGAGTACTTACACACTGGTACTGCTTAGCCTAAGGATCCACCTTCCACTCTTTTCAAAATCAGACTTGCCACAAATGTGGGTCAGTCAGGTGCATCACAGTTAAGGTATTTATTCCATCTCAATGATCATATGCTATGTTAAGCCTTGAGTTGCCCAATTTCCTTAAAGCAGTTGCTCATTTTTTAAGCTATACTTTCTGGCAAGTTTTCCCCTCAGTCTTGGGTTGATCTCTAATCCCGAAGTTCTCCTCGCCTTGTAGATTGATCCAGATTCTAGTACTGGCTTCTAGTAAGAGAGGATGAAGATCTTAGAGGCCTGGTGCACTTGGCTAAGGATTGGTAGTACCAGTGGTTAAGCTCAAGGAGTTACTGATGGATCCTTCCTGGAATATAAAATAACAAAAAAGGTCCTACATATATAAGCTTCATTTACAAGTAAAACAGTGGTTCTGTCATTACTATATTTATCAGTTGCATGTTTGTATACTAAATTCGAAACTTCTCCTAATTTATATATCGTATACATCTTCTATGACATACCATTATAAGTACTGTATATCATAAATTTCTCCACCTTATATTTTATAAGAATGTTGTTGATATGGTATTTCATGAGGGAGGGGGAATGTTCTCTACCAAGTTTGGGGAAGGGGGGGGGGGAGCTCTTTGTGGCAAGCTATTTATTTATTTATACAAGAAGGGACATTGGGTCCGAAAGGTACTACATATGCACATACTGCAGTTTAATATTTTCACTGGTGAATAATTATGTAGAAGCAGGAACTATCAAACTTGACTGTATTTTGTAAACATATGCCACTTTGCTGTATGATGACTGTTGGATGAGTGAATATAACTTTAATATACTGTTTGTCATTCACTTTTGTTACTTACCGCACAGTCTCAATACTGTATATGACATCTGACTATATAACTTTCACTTTTGGCCACCAGTGGCTGACCTGTCAGGACCAAGACATACAGTACTTCAAATTACTATAATATACTATACTAATCCACCAGTTTGTAATACTGTATTGGGGCACTGATTCAAAGTGCTTTACTAGCTGAGTGCGTTTTCCTTAAAAACTGAATACTGTACCTTTAACATTCAAAGATTTAGTATCATTTGTTTGGTGCTCTGAGACGGCCTGAGCACAATCTGGGTAGGCCCACCAAATTTCAGTGTTCACGAAGAGTGTTAACATGATTAATTAGAATTTTATAATACTGTCTTTTTCCCCAAATAGACATTATCAATGCAAGTACTGTACACTCTTGTAAAGTATCTTCCAACTCTCCTTTCCTCACCAGTACATATAAAATAATATACAATGTCTTTTTTTTCCTACCTGTTCTTTAATTGGCATGTCATATATAAGGTTCTCCCACAGATCCTCAAACTCAGTAGCAGGTAACATCCAATGAGTAGCTGCAGGAATGTCATCTTCCCCCTCATTCAGCTCCTCAATGCCTGGCCCATAACACTCTAGTTGATATATATAATATTTTGGTTGAACCGTTGATATATCTATATGCTGCAAAGAAATAAAACCATATGAAAAACAAGCATATTCAAGTGGCTGCCAGACAGATGGAAAGCAGCCAATGCAGTACTAAACTTCATAGAAGTAGACAAAGTGGCAGTAGCCCAAGCACTCTGTATAATATGGAGAAATGAGTGGATACGGGGAGGGGGATAAATAAAATGTTTAAATCAGCAGATATAGCTGCATTACACAAGGGAGAGAGTAAAGCATTAGCTAAGAATTATAGACCAGTAGTGCTATTGTCCCACATAATAAAGTTTTTGTGAGTGTGATCAGGAATCAGCTCTCCAGTTTGATCAGATCTCCACCAAATAGCTCCACAACCCAGTGGTGGTCATAGTGGTTTAGCAATTGACATTCCTCATCATTCTGCAATTTCCTGGCACTTCCATCATTTGTTTCACTGCATTAAATCTATGTGTTTGTGTGTGAAATTACCTATGTGTAATTACAGGATGAGAGCTACACTCGTGGTGTCTCATCTTCCCAGCACTCTGTGTCATATAACGCTTTGAAATTACTGACGGTTTTGGCCTGCACCACCTTCTCACTTAACTTGTTCCATCTACCACTCTGTTTGCGAAAGTGAATATTTATTTCTTCGGCAGCTTTGTTTAGTTAGTTTAAATGTATGACCTCTTGTTCGTAAAGTTCCAGGTTTCAGGAGCACTTCCCTATCAATTTTGTCGATTCCCATTATTGTTTTGTACGTAGTCGTCACATCTCTTCTATTTCTAGTTTTTACATACGTATTTAATTATTTTTTTTAATAACTGTATATACAAGAGTTCTTGCATTTTTGCAAAGCCACTAGCATGCATAGGATTTCATGCAGGTCCTTAATCCAAATTTTCCCTGGAATACAATCCGCCAAATTGTTTAACAACCAGGTACCCATTCATTGTTGGGTGAATAGAGGCTACAGTTAAGGATTGGCATCCGGTTAATTCTCCCCGACCTGGATATGAACCCAGGCCAAAGGGCTCACAAAGCGCTATGCGTGTGCTTTACCACTGCACCACGAAGACTGGCAATGCTTCTTACCTCACCTCGTAGCTCTTGTCTTTCAGTTCCAAGAGCCATTTAGTTGTACTCTTTACTAAACCTTGTAAACTCTTTACAAAACTAAACTCTGTGTGTGAGAGAGAGATATGAATTAGATATGATAGAGGAAAATAGGTTGAGAGTCAGTACATTAGACAACCGACGATTAGAAAGGCAGGGTCCAAGAGCTAACAGCTCAATCCTGCAGGCACAAATAGTAAATTAACTATATTTTAAAGTGGAGCCATTATGGATACTGACTTATTCCTACTAATAGTCAGAAATGAAACGTTAAAAATAATTCCAAGTACTGAACAGTACTCTTCTGTAATACAGGAACTAGTTCTATAGTAAATCACAAAATACCTTTGTGTCAGAAGCAGAGTCAATTTCACATATTCTAATGTGAATTAAATGTTCATGCAATGAAGACTTAGCAAATTCTTTAATGATGCTATCAGTGCTAATATTCCTTTTCTCTTGAAGAAAGCTGTCTACATCTTCAATAAGGCTTCTGTGGCTGAAGGCACTGAAAAAAATAATCTCATTAGTAGTAGATATTATGGATATTATTATACCTGTATAAGCATCAATTAATTTATTAACTATGTATGGCTCAATTGCAGACAAACAACTGACATCTTTCCCCACCCCCTCTTTCTCTGAAAATTCGAACCAGGAATTCTAGATTGCGAGTCGAGAATGAACCCAACTGTACTACCGGGACCTTCAAATAAATTAAATGAGGTAAGGTAATTATCAGGAGAAAGTGCTAGACCATTAGGACTATAATTTTATAATTCTATATAGCTATAGAATTATATTACAGTATATATACTAATCATATATCCAAGACTATATACCACTTGAAAGGGATATGAAGACAAGGGTTTAGGATGGGATGGGGAAAGGAATGGAAGCTTTTTATTAGAAAAGCTAATGAGCTAATTTTTTTATGTATTGTTTTATTTATTTATATATACAAGAGTTCTTACATTCTTGTACAGCCACTAGCACACATAGTGTTTCGGGCAAGTTTTTAATCCTAATACAGCACTGTACTCCCTGGAATACGACCCCGCCAAATCGTTTAACAACCAAATACCCATTTTACTGTTGGGTTAAACAGAGGCTACAGTAAGGATTTGCGCCCAGTAGATCCCCCCCCCCGGCTAGGATATGAAGATTACGAACCCAGGACAAAGCACTCGTGAAACACCAGATGAGTGTCTTACCATTACGCCACAGGGCCTGCAGGAATGCACCTGCAGTCCCCCAGACTTTACTGCACCTGCAAGACTAAATGAACCAAACTCGCGCAGTAATGCTGCATTAGCTTATCTATTGCATCTCTGTCGTCTATTTACTCACCTCCTCCTTTTGAGAATCTCAATATGAAGAACTGGTTTCCTCTCAGTATCCATATTGTTAGATTTATAAATAATGTTGTTCACTGCGATACCGCTCCACTTGAACCCAGAAGCAGGATGTGTGGGCGTTATGTAGGCGGATGAAAATAAAACAAAAGCGGAAAATATGTCACAAGCAGCCCGTGGTCTCTTTCTTTTTTATATATATACAAGAGTTTTTACATTCTTGTAAAGCAACTAGCACGTATAGCGTTTCGGGCAGGTCCTTAATCCTAAATTTTCACTAGAATACAGCCCGCCATATCGTACCCATTCACTGCTGGGTAAACAAAGGCTAAAAGTTATTTTCTAGAAGCTAGAGGCTTGCTATTTTCAAACAATATTGTTTGTTGACCAATTTGTATAAATGCTCATTTTTGCTACGTTTCCCCCCCTTTATTTATTTATTTATTTATTTGTTTTTCAGATGTATACATGAGTTGTTACATTCTTGAAGAGCCACTAGTACGGTCCATAGAATTACCCAAATCGGCCCAAAACTACACAAATCATCCTAGCATTACGTAAGTGATAAAGAAATATGTTATATTTACTTACTATAATGTTGGTGCTACACGTAGAACATGATCAAACCTATTTTTACTCTGAAATAATCTAATTTCATAACGAAATGAGACGTAAATATGTGAGAGGTCTCCGTGGTGTAGTGGTAAGACACTCGCCTGGCGTTCCGCGAGCGCTATGTCATGGGTTCGTATCCTGGCCGGGGAGGATTTACTGGGCGCAATTCCTTAACTGTAGCCTCTGTTTAACGCAACAGTAAAATGTGTACTTGGATGAAAAAACGATTCTTCGCGGCAGGGGATCGTATTCCAGGGACCATAGGATTAAGGACTTGCCCGAAACGCTACGCGTACTAGTGGCTGTACAAGAATGTAACAACTCTTGTATATATCTCAAAAAATCCAAGATATATGGTCGCCTGGAGAGTGTTTGCTGCCATATCAGCCTCCTGTACACAGTGATCCAGTCGTCGCATTTCATGGCTCAAATTGTCGCAAATTTAATTGGTGATATTAAGAAGTAGAATGTGTATTTATATAATATCTTTCATAAACAGCCACTAAATCTTTAATATTTATTAAACAAAACGTGTCTGGAAGTTAAATCAACTCCACAGGACAATAAATTTGTTATATAGATACTAGCGTTATTCGTTGGTATGCGTTCGCAATTTAAACTGCTCATGTCCTTTTCGTTCATTGAACACCGAACCCTACACAACCATGCACAACTCAAAGTCCAACAAGTCACACCCCCGGAGTAATGCAATCGGAACCTGACAAGTTGTGTAACCGGAGCCCAACCAGTTGTGTAACTGCAAGCCTAACATGAACGAACCAAACAAACAACCTCTAGATCACAACCATGCACGAACGGAAGCCCGACCATGCACAACCCAAAACTCAGGTGACACCCCCGGAGCCCGACCAGTTACTTAACCGGAGCCCGACCAGTTGTGTAACCTGAGCCCCACCAGTTGTGTAACCGGACCCCGACCAGTTGTGTAACCATAAGCCTAGCACGTATACTTCCAAACCAATTTGTTCGTATATGCGCTGGTTTGTGTTCGCTGCTGTTCTCGTCTGAATAAATACATAACGTACACTTCATCATATAATTATTAGCGCTTCCATTAACAATGCTTAGCGCACTGTTTGTATTACTTTGTTTGTTAACAAAGCGCTCTCGTATCAGAGAAGGGAAGGGAAGAGAACTCTCAGGGGAGAAAGCGCTGTAATGTACGGTTATGTTACGTTGTTGGGTACATTAGATACAGTGTTTAGTTAGTTTCATATTTATTTAGTAGTCCTAGATACAGCAGTGTCGTAGACGTTGAGACAGGGCTTGGAGCAGAGCAGAGAGCTGAGTGTGGCCGGAGTCGCGGAGCTCTATGTGGGAGAGCGTTGTAGCTCGATTATCAGCATTAAACTGCAGACTCGGGTAAATTCAGGTAAAATATAAAAGTATATCTAACTCGTTTTCTTTGAAACGGTCTGAATATTTTGATTTCTGCAAATAAAATTTATCTGAGGGGTCACTGACATATATTGGTCTCTACGAAAGAAAGGATTAGTAGAAATTCTAAGAGAGAATCAAATAGTTTCCGACTTTCATATTATTTCACCTGTCAGCTAATGATATTAGGTGAACATGCTTGTGCTTTAATTTTATTTAGTAGCCCCTCATATATAATATGGTATTAGTAGTAGAAGTAGTACATTGTACTACCTAAGCTTTTAATCAAAACAAAATGCAAAATTCAAAATTCAAAATGCAAAACAAAACAAAATTCACTACACAATTGAGGTTCTTATTTGCGTCTTATTTCATTGTAAAAGGAGTTAATTTCCAAACAGGGTTTATAAATAAATCTTATCTTATCTTTGCATTCAATTTTGTACGGTAATTTTTCAAACTTAAAATGTAAATAGCTATATATATATACCCCCTCTAAATGAAAAATGGCCTAATTTAACATATGTGCTAAAAATATTAACATAAATAATTCGTTTGTTAGATAACAAGATATTCATAGCAATAAGGTTTCTTGGAATGGCCTATAATGCACGCAAATACTAGTTTACGCACTTTTCGGGTAGTACGCCTGGAATTTCAAAATGGCGTTCAAACGGCGGTTGGTCGTTAAAGGCCCAGCCGGTCAGTAACGTCGGTGCCGCCAACGCGACAACATGTATCGCTGATTTCCGACATCAGCAACATTGCTCCAGGTAAGAGTGATAATTCTTTTTGACATATTTATATCTTATATATACACAGTATATAGAATTATATAATATAATGGGGTTTTGCGTATGGAGTTTGCTTCGAACAATGCCTATCAATGTTAGTTTAGTTCGTTTATTATGCACCCCATACCCATCTTGTGGGCTACCTTCCGGGGCTTAGTGTCCCCGCGGCCCGGTCGTCGACCAGGCCTCCTGGTTGCTGGACTGATCAACCAGGCTGTTGGACGCGGCTGCTCGCAGCCTGACGTATGCGTCACAGCCTGGTTGATCAGGTATCATTTGGAGGTGCTTATCCAGTTCTCTCTTGAACACTGTGAGGGGTCGGCCAGTTATGCCCCTTATGTGTAGTGGAAGCGTGTTGAACAGTCTCGGGCCTCTGATGTTGATAGTTCTCTCTGAGTACCTGTTGTACCTCTGCTGGGCGGTAGTGGAAAGGGTTACAGAGGCACATAATGGGCTCAGGGACTGAACCCCACAATTCATTTAGCTAAGCAAGTTACAATCTTGATGAGCTAGTTACAAAATTCAATATAAGTCGTCACATCAACAATGGGTTCGAGATCGACCTCAAGTACAGGTTCTAAATTAAGCACCTGACATATGTGGAGAGCTAGTGTCACAATTTATGTTTGTCCTGCACACCGCCCCCCATCCAGTGGGCAGCGGTGGATAGGTTACAATCACTCGGTTACTACCTACAGTTAGCAGACTGGGGATATTTGGCTAAAATTTCTGGTAGCAGATCAGGTCCCCCATTTGTTCCGATTTTTTTTCAAATTGGATTTTACAATTCAAGTGTTATGTTATTTACTGCTTTAGCAGATAGGCGGTTCCATGGGTTTATAACCCTGTGGGTGAAAATATAGCTTATGTTTTCAGTCCTACACTGCGGCTTGTTGGACTTGAAACCGTTGTTCCTTGTTTGTGTTCCATCTGACCTTTTGAAGTTGTTCTCTGGATCCATATCTTCGAAACTGTTCAATATTTTAATAGGCAGGCGATGAGTCACAATAACGTGGCTGAAGTATGTTGACCAGACCACACACTAGAAGTTGAAGGGACGACGAGTTTCGGTCCGTCCTGGACCATTCTCAAGTCGATTCAAGTCGATATTTTAATAGTTTCGGTGAGATCCATCCTGGCATGCCTAGTTTGCAGTGTTGTTAGCCCTGTGACCCTCAACCGTTCATGGTATGAAACTAGACCTCATTCTGCAATTATTTTTGTCGCCTGGTGTTCAATTTTCTCCATGAAAGGTTGGGCGCGGGGTGGGTTCTCTGTGTCGGCCTCCAAGTGGGTTCTCTGTCGGGCTCCAAGTGGGTTCTCTGTCGGGCTCCAAGTGGGTTCTCTGTCGGGCTCCAAGTGGGTTCTCTGTCGGGCTCCAAGTGGGTTCTCTGTCGGGCTCCAAGTGGGTTCTCTGTCGGGCTCCAAGTGGGTTCTCTGTCGGGCTCCAAGTGGGTTCTCTGTCGGGCTCCAAGTGGGTTCTCTGTCGGGCTCCAAGTGGGTTCTCTCGGGCCCCGGGTTCTCTGTCGGGCCCCAAGTGGGTTCTCTGTCGGGCCCCAAGTGGGTTCTCTGTCGGGCCCCAAGTGGGTTCTCTGTCGGGCCCCAAGTGGGTTCTCTGTCGGGCCCCAAGTGGGTTCTCTGTCGGGCCCCAAGTGGGTTCTCTGTCGGGCCCCAAGTGGGTTCTCTGTCGGGCCCCAAGTGGGTTCTCTGTCGGGCCCCAAGTGGGTTCTCTGTCGGGCCCCAAGTGGGTTCTCTGTCGGGCCCCAAGTGGGTTCTCTGTCGGGCCCCAAGTGGGTTCTCTGTCGGGCCCCGGGGTGGGTTCTCGGTCGGGCCCCGGGGTGGGTTCTCTGTCGGGCTCCAAGTGGGTTCTCTGTCGGGGCTCCGGGGTGGGTTGTCGGTCGGGGCTCCGGGGTGGGTTGTCGGTCGGGGCTCCGGGGTGGGTTGTCGGTCGGGGCTCCGGGGTGGGTTGTCGGTCGGGGCTCCGGGGTGGGTTGTCGGTCGGGGCTCCGGGGTGGGTTGTCGGTCGGGGCTCCGGGGTGGGTTGTCGGTCGGGGCTCCGGGGTGGGTTGTCGGTCGGGGCTCCGGGGTGGGTTGTCGGTCGGGGCTCCGGGGTGGGTTGTCGGTCGGGGCTCCGGGGTGGGTTGTCGGTCGGGGCTCCGGGGTGGGTTGTCGGTCGGGGCTCCGGGGTGGGTTGTCGGTCGGGGCTCCGGGGTGGGTTGCCGGTCGGGGCTCCGGGGTGGGTTGCCGGTCGGGGCTCCGGGGTGGGTTGCCGGTCGGGGCTCCGGGGTGGGTTAATTGTCGGTCGGGGCTCCGGGCAGGCTTTAGGTACTCAACTGGCGGGCTCTGGGTGGGTGACTGTTCGGGCTCAGGTGGGGTCTGTCCGGCTTCGGGTGGGTTCTTGGTAGGGCTTGGGGGGTGTGGGTTCTTGGTAGGGCTTGGGGGGGTGTGGGTACTTGGTAGGGCTTGGGGGGGGTGTGGGTACTTGGTAGGGCTGGG